GTACAATTAATAATCATAAACGTTTCGGCCCTTAATCTGGCCATCATCAGTACTATAATGATATCTTGTCTGTTAATATAATGATAATTTAAGTAAAATAAGATGCGAAAAATTTATATATCGATTAAATCAGTTGATTATTCTCAAACTTAAATTATCATTATATTATTATATATTAACAAACAAGATATTATATCATTATAGTACTGATGATGGCCAGATTAAGGACCGAAACGTTTATGATTATTAATTGTACGAACAATAAAATTTCGTTTTAAAAAATCGACGAAATATAGAATAATTTCGTTAAATTGATTCAGCGGTTGTGGTTCATGCTCATTTAAATTCCTTCATTTCGTTCTTGATTTAAGTTCAGCATTGTTTTATTATAACTGAATTTAGTAAAAATATATTTATAAAAATTTTACAAGAAATATATTATAAGCACAAAGAGAAGCAATTTTTGAAGAAACGCTATGATTAGTTAAATGATATTAGTAGAGGTAATTAAAACTGTGTTTATATGACTCTCTCACGTTATAATTTCAGTTGATCACTACTACAAGTATGTTATTAAGAAAATTATTAAATAGAAAATTGTTTTTAGAAATAGAAACTAAATTAATTGATAAAAAAAATATGAATTTTTAACATTATTATATTATAATTTGTAATTTATTACTTTAATTATTGTATATGTATACGCAATTGCAATATATATATAAATACATATCTCCTACTTGCAAAATTTTGCAAATGGTAAAATTTGTTTTGACATTATTCATTTTAACATCCATCTATTTCATCAAAACTCCATTGCTTCTAGATTCTAATTATACTCAAGATAAACAATATAAAATAAACCATACCATTTCCGTACTTGAGTATTACACTGAAAAGGTTAAATATAAGTAAAGTTTGTAATAATATCGTAGTTTTTCTTAAGTATAAAAAATACAGCTATATTATAATATGATCATAGAAGATTTAGAATCATTAAAAATGAGTTTATAATATTTTTAATGATATAATCATTAAAAGTATTACCTGTTTAAAATTTTAGTAAGAAAGTTGTCACAGTATTTATATGGATATTACTCCAGATATTTTGAATCAAACTTTAGATTTAAACGTTTTTACGCGTATACATACCGCAAACTGTGCAACTTGAAGATTCGAGTTACATTATACTATCAACTTTGGTAACATAAAGTTTTACAAATATGGAAATTAACGTGAAAATAATGAATTAAAACAAGAATTAACACACATTCTTTGATCTTATCTTCTCTCTTAAAAGTACTCAATTAATCCATTGTTTTCAACTTATTTATTTGTCATGTAAAATCTGAGTTAAAACGATCTGAATTATGATATAAATAATTTCATTAAAAGATTTGTATTTTTTCCCTTTTGAAAGAAAAGAACTATTTAAGATAATTAAATAAACTTAAAATAAGCGAGAATGAACTTTATATTTTTGAAAGGCAAGAACAAACAGATATACATATACACACACATATCTAAGCGCTAGAGCAAACACGAATTTTGTTTCTTTTCTTCCTAACAAATTCTAATGACTGTATGCAGGGGATTGACTAGTTTCTGACTAGATTATGATAACTCACATGGAAACGTAAAGTTAGTTTGAATCAGTAGTCGAGCAGGAATGTGGCTACAATTGACTTACACAATAATTCCAGCCTTATTAACATTACCATTTTATTTGTTTCTTGAAAAACGTATAAGCTGTGTAAGTAGTTCTCCAGATTTTTCGTATGGTTTTACACGACTGCCAATGCATAATTTGGTATTACGTAATATTTTTCATCCATTATTAAATTTCTTACAAATGCAAAGTTATTTGATAAGATGAAGTTTTCCTCAATAGAGTAATATTGAAATTAATTTTGTATTAAAAAATCAGGAATAAAATGTTTAACTTAATAAATATGTATAATTTAACAAACATTATATAAATATTATACTTAATCTTAATAAATAAACATTTAATAAATATAATTACTATAAAGCACCGAGCCAATAAATTACTATAAAAATAAAAAAGTGATTTAAAAAAATCAAATATGTACATACTTATTTCATTATAAATATAATCAAAAAATTACAACATTTCACAAGCTTGTCTCTCTTATAAAACAAATGTAATATTAATCGACAAAATAAAATCTGTCAACAATGACTACTTTAGTGTTAATATATGTATGATATTTTATATGACGATCCTAATTGAAAGATTTATATTAGCTGTATTGAAAACGTATAATGATCTATTACATATCTAATTTCATTTTATGCAAAATGAAATCAGCGCTTCAGTTTTTTACCGAGTCTCTCTTACAATAGAATATATTAAAAAGTAAATGGTAACGTCAAGCAGCTGTATGTTCGATAGTCGGCAAAGTGGCGTCATCTTGCGCACGCGTACCGTCGGTCGAAAGGGTCGGTTCGGGTGACGCTCGACAGCGCAAGTATTCAAAATTTCGAACAAACACGAAGTTAGCGCAGTTTGCATCTAATTGTAAGTATTCGCGTTATACCTCGATCGAGTGCGATCTGGTGTGATTTCTCTTGTTTCGTCTCCATAATGTGAAAATAAATTTCGTCACCATTTGCACGACGTCATAACATTATTCGGGGTCTTCTTTACATCGGCCTCACGAGACTGTTCTCGGGATGCTCGTCTTCCGAAGTTTCCGGCTCTGTGTTCAATTTGCTGAAATCGCGCGAGTTCGGCCGTTTCTCCGACTTGGAGCTTCCACTGTGGCTACTCTCCAGCAGGCTTGACAGTTGAAAGGTTTCCTGCCTATCGGACCATTCATTCTTCCTCTTGCGCGCAAAGTATACTAGAGGTAAATGAAACGTAAAATATATTCGATTAATTAGGGTGTATAGTTAAAGCTGAGAATGACAATGGATTTCAAGGCTTGTTAAAAATAGTAGTAGTAACTCGAAAATCTGGTTGGGCAAATATTATTAAAGTTCGTTACCTATAATAAAAAAGCGTAATGTAAATTTAATTCGATAATTATCTCATTTTTAAACGAATTATTCTTCAGTATTCTTTAGCAATACTTATTAGAAGAATCTGATATCTACTATTTTTAACATCAATTGAAAGGATGAAATGAGAATAACTACACTTGCAATTTTTATTTTCTTTTACTTTTTAAATCTGTTCATTTAAAAAAAAAAATTGATTTAATAATGAATAACATTACAGTAACAATGATTTAAATAAAAAAATAGCCATTCAAGCAATATAATAAGAAAAAACTGATATAATTAAAATGAAAATCTATTATCTGAAGAAATATAATTACAATTTAAACTTTTCAGAATTTTTTGTTATTTCATATTTTAAACAATTTATAAGTTATCTACTCGACTTCAAAAAAAACTAATACTATATTTGACATTTAAACAACTAGTAACTAGTAAAAAATATAAAGCTTATGATATAGGTATAAGTACAGATAAAAAAATAAGTTAAATTAAGATAATATATTGTTATCTATGACTTGTAGAAATATGTACATCAGTAACAATGTAGATAATATTAGAAGAAAGATTACAACACATTAAAGAATTAAGATAACACATTATCTATACACATAAAAGCAATGTACAGAAAAAATGTAAAAAGCAGCACAATACATTAAATAAATAATGTGTAAAAATAAAATAAAATTAATATAATAGTGCGTACAAGCTCTGTTAAAAAAAAAAAACACTATATATCTTTAATATTTACAATTTAATAATTGCAGGCAAACACATAAATTGCATGATGTTACTTAATTTGGGTGTACATTAAGAAATATAAAAATTAAAGCTTTTAAAGCTTAAATAGATTATGTTAGAGAAGTAAACATAATTTAAATATATTGTAACAGGAACGATATTAAGTAATTCTGCTGCTATATGTTCTTTCATAATGAAGTTGGGATGATAATTTGTTACATATAATAGCAATGAATTAACGATAAGTAAAAATAAATGTATTATTTCAAAATTCTATTATTCTACATAGTAAACTGACATTATATTTATCATCATTTTGATAAATAAATGACATCAAAATAACGACAAATAATGTCAGTTTGTTACTTGGAATCCTGCAATAATTATCATTCCTAGACGTATGAACAGTCTGTGTGTACGTATATATACTATATATAGTATATACGTGTGTATATATATATATATATATACGTCACACATGTATAAACTAATGTTTAATAAATATAGAAAATAAATTAACACACAAGAGTGCACAACAAGATACTAAAACGAAAAACACCCATAATGAAAGGAACATTTATTTCTATTCTATTAATTTAGAGAATTCAACAGTTGGTTCATCATGTCTTGTTTTTCTACCTCGTCTTCGATGCATCTTTACAGTGGTTAAAATCATAATGAACATTATAATAGAGAAAACGATCACTATGACAGCGTCTAACATAAATTCTAATATGTCATTCGTTTCATTATCGGCATCTTTAGTATCAGGATGTATTAAGATCTGATGTGGACGCCGTTTAGTTGACTGCGAATCATTAGAACTGTTTATTTCTAAAAATGAAAAAGGTAGATACATTTAAATAAGATGGAATTATAAATTTTTTTTATTATAGAAAGTAACATTTAATAAAATATTGTACCTTGTAGAAATCTATAAACTTTCTTATTGTTTAATTCAACTACGTATATCTCAGAACCGTCTTCTGTTACACGCAGATTATGTGGATTATTCATATTTTTCTTGGGCTTAAATATTGATAATATCTTTCCGGAGTAAATGTCAAGTACGAAGCCTCTTACTGGTACTGGATTTCGTATAAATGGATCAGGTCCATTAACTAGATACAACTTTTCCCGAGCGTACGCAACGCTGTAAATTTTTGTACCAATAGCAGGATGTCTATATTTCTTATGGAATGTACCGTTGTTGGCAAAGAAGCACAATATCCTGCCATTTTCTCTGTCAGCGAGATAAAGATAATTTAATTCACTCGCGAGTGCTAAAGAATGCGCGACGAGAAACGCATATGGCGGAGGCGACTGTGAATAGATAAACTCTAAAATAAAGTTAGGCTTAGTTTAGGATTTACTTAAATACTGTTTATTGTTATTGATACCAATTTTATTTTCATTATTACCTCTATTGTTCCAAAGTCGTCCCCACTGTAAAATTAATTCACCGTTTTTATTATATTTGACTATCCTAGAATTGCAATATCCATCACTAACGAAAAAGTCACCATTAGTATGTACAGCGACATCAGTTGGTTTACAAAATGTGCTAGCGCTGTTACCAGGGACAAAAGCCTCTCCCAGAGTCATAGATGGCTTCAGCATACTGGTACGATTATTAGGCAGATTTGTCTTTGAGTTAGCCTGTGCACTTTTCAATTCTTCCATGTGTCTCTTTACATCTTGAGCATCAAACTTGAATACCTGATGCATTGCTACATCAGTTATCCAATAATTCCCGGACTGATCGATAGTCAAACCATGTGGGAGATAAAACATGTTTTTTCCCCATTCCGATATCACTTTACCATTTTTGTCCAGAAACATTATTGTGTTTTGCACTATCGGTCCATTATTTGGATCAAACTTGTTTTCATTATTGAAACTATTAGGGCCCCAAACACGAGCTCCTCTATGAAATATTGCAACATTGCCATCAGGATCCACAGAAATTGCTGTTGCTTGACCAAGTTTCAGTTGTGTTCCCCATTGTGCATCCCATATTATATCTGAAAAAATATAACAAACATAAGAAAATATTAACTACTTCTATATATAAACACTTACAAATGGTCAATGCTTACTTTCATCCAAGGTATCTGGAATTACTTGCTCTTCATTGTCCAAATAGCTTTCAGTTTTTGAATATAAATGATCTTTTGTGTTTTGTTGATCAATCGGTTGTGCTAAAGATTCTTTATCTCTATCATCAACATCGGAATATTCTCTATCATCATCAGAATATTCATTTGGACCAAACTTAGCATCAGCTAAATGCTATATAATACAAAAAGAACTTTCTTTTGTTTACATATAATTTATTAAATAATTTGTATAACAATTTCTCCGTTTATACACTAATAGATAATTTATTAAATAATTTGTGTAACATATATGATAAAACAACTCAGCAAGCTAATTAACAGCAACATAATCGTTAGTTATAATTATGTAATTTTTCACTCAACATCATAAATATTATGTAGAATTAGAATAAAGTAAAATTGTAATAATTACGTCTGACATATTACATGTATATTGTTGAGTGGAAAATTATTTAACAATTATGTTCCAGTTAATTTGCTGGAAATGGAGTATATATGATAGTATATCATAATATTAACAACTATATGAAAATTAACAATTTAAATATTAATATTAACTTTTCCTTTAAATTCTGTAAATATCAACATGTAATTACCTGAACATTTAGAATATCTCTTAATGCTGCCTTGGTATGTACTAAAATATGGAACAAAATCAAAACGGAGCAAACAGTATTATATCGAAGAGCCGTCATTTCGTGAAATCGTCATTAAACGTTTCCGTATTTTCCATCTACATCATCAGTAACTGAAACACTGGTGGCGTCTGTCGTATTGGACAATATCAAAGATCTTTGTGGCCTTATGAGATCGTAGAAGTATGTTAGCAACTTGAGAGAATTTTACATAAAATTGCGTCTACCTTTGTTTACAACACACTTCGGAGCCACGTATAATAAACTAGTAGTTTCTTTTGTTAATAACATCACTTAAAATAACTGTAATTAATGTCGCCTAGAACATTTGGTTACAGCATGTATTATTGCGAAACAGTATTAAGCACATATGTCGGCATGTTAAGAGAACACACATTTTCAACAAGTGGCGTTCAAGATGTGACGCCATAACTTTAATCGATAGCACTGACTACACTGTCACTACACTAAAGCAGTTTCATAATGTTCGCGAGTAAGGGCGCTACGTGTACCGTTTTCTCAATTTTGAATTCTCAGATTCTCACAATCTGACAGATAATATATAAAAATATTATATTTTTTATTAATTACGCTCTAACGCTCCTTTCTTTCTATTTCTATAGTTAGTTCCATCACAAAAATTTATTTAGTCCTAATTGTTGAATCTTTAGCATTAAATAGAGTTTTTTTAAATTAAACCTTTAAACCTTTTATTAAATTAATTTGTCAATATTAAATAATCTCTCTTCCTAAGTTTAAATACAATAATATCAAAAAAGAATTTATTATTTTATTACTTATCTACTTTTTACTATTTATATTCAATTATTCACAAAATTTATATAGTTATTATTCTTTTAAATGAAATAATATTTTTTTGTTATTATATTATCTTTTTGATATTGAATTCTTTAACGTCATAATCCAACTAACACTAAATATTCCTGAAATATTCATGAAAGGCTGCTAAAAATCCGTCCCAAAAAAAAACATTCCAAGAGTATTCTGAAATGTTCCAAAATATATTTACGGAATGTAAAACAACGTCCAAATATCAGTTGAAAATTCTATTTAAATATCGTTACATATTCCGAGAATGTTGCATATACATTCTGCAAAATTTGAATTTTTCCAAATGTTTCAGGTTCAATCGTCTCTGAACTACTTTTTAAATAGATTGCACTATCAAGAACACATATCATGTACTTTCACCATGAAATCCAATTTTGGGACTTACTTCACAGCACGGTGGAAGTAACATGGATGTGTTCAGTTTGCAAACGTTTTTCTTTCTAATTCTTTGCTCTTTCACTTCTTTCGTGCAATTATTATGGGCATAAATTGACGCTTACATGACTCGCTTTGAGCATGTTCTGCGCGACTTTTAGAAAAAATATGCGCAAAATCATTAACACTTTGTATATTATAAATGTAGTTTTGAGGGGGGGAGAGAGAGACAAATCCATAAATTAAATTCAATTTTTAGCAAAATATTTGTTATTTTGAAATAATTAACAACAATACTATTATTTATTTACTTTCTCACATTATTATTTATATTGCATTACAGTTATAATTATTTTTTAGACAAAAAGTGGAAGATAATATATTTTATTATTATTTCATTTTGTTAATATTATTCAATTTGATATCAATTCAGGCAGCACAGAATATTTATGATATAAATATCATAATTATTACTATTAATTTTTTAAAAATATTAAATAAATATTTTGTACACAGTTGATATATGTATATATAATTTTTATGTTATTCAAAATATTATTAAAATACAATCTAAATATTTTATATAATATTTATAATAAATAAAGGTTTCTAGTACATATTTTTTAAATATTTCTAAAATGTTTACTCGAAACATAATTTATTTCATAAAGTGCATATTACCGGCAATACAATACATACCGTAATAAAGCAAATGCTATTTTGCAACTTTCTTCGTTGAAATGGAACTATTTTAGATTAATTTATAAAAGAAACATATTTTATAAATATAAACTGTGTTCTATCTTTTTAGCAACGTCTATTATTGACGGATATGTCATAGCTGTGCTGCATCCAATAACATTCAGTATTCATGGATTATCGAAGTAGCAATTTCCGAACAGTTGCATACATCAAGCAGCGTTGGCTGTTATACAAATTAGGATGGGTGACTGAAAGATGATTAATAAAACTAATTCCTAAATTTTTTTAGGATAAAATGTTTTCTTAAATCGTATTTTGCATATAAATAATTAATGTTAATTGTGATATCTTTACATATGATTTGTATAATTTAAATTTAACAAACCAAAATATTTACAAAATATTTCGATAGATATTTTATAAATATTCAAATAAATTTTATAAATATTTTCACATGTTTTATGAATATTGTGTGCTGTCTGAAAACATTCTCAATTTTTTATATATAATTGATTAATATTCGGTAATTCTCGTATTTTATCGATATAAAATGAAGAAACAATCTAAAACGATACATAAATATTAATTATAGTAGACTTTAAGTATGAAAACTGAAGTATAAACCTTTATATATAGTTTTTATATTATTTAAGGAGTTCATCTGTTGGCAAAAATATTATTCTCGTTATTTTTTAATATTTTGATTTATTAGAACTTTGAAAAAGAAACACGGATGAGAGATAACTTTTTGTTGCAATCAAGATTGCGCGGATAAAAGTTATTAAGAAATTGTTTTGATTACAACTACAGTTTTTAAGAGCTGGAAAATACGTTCTATACGTAAACGAGTTTACAGAAGCTTTAAATGAAGCATTTTAGATAACACATATTCATTCTCAAAGAAACGAACCGTTGTAAGTTACTGTGACCCGTTTTCTGCGGCTAAATATACGAGGTGTTTCTTAAATAAGGCCTATTAATCATATTGCGCTATTCTGATAAAAAAAAGTTGAGTCGAAAAATCCTTTACCATTTCGCAATTTTCTCAATATTCTTTTTTTAGTTACCCAATGAGCAAAATGTCTAAAATCAACGTGTAAACAACTTTAAGAGTTCTTTAAGAAATATCTTCAAAATGTTTTACAAAGAACACTGAAAGATATCTTGAAATTGTCTTATGTATCGATTTCATCCGTTTATTCCGCAATCTTTAGAAATTAATATCTTGTTAATTATTGCGAAAACGTTTTGCAAAATGATAGAGGAATAAGACTGTTCGATCCAGTTTTTTAAAATAAGAAACAGCACTATGTGATTAATGAATGTTATTTAAGAAACCTGTATAACTTAAAAAAAAATGACACATTATAATGAATACAATTTCGTCATTTACTCTTTTTTATGCAATTCGAAATCTAAAGCTTAGATGTATTTCCCCGATCTCGCACGCTAATCCGTACATGAATGAAAAGCTTCACTGGTTGAATACTTCGAAATCCAATAGAGTCTGTATTCGCTAGACGGAATTCGTCACGAGGATTTCTCGGCATGGTCTGTCGTCTGGAGGGATAGTTTATACTGGAATCAATGCAGTCTCGTTCGAGGATGGTTTGCATTCCTTGTTCAATCTTCTCTCCTTACATTCCTTGCCGCTCGATTTGAATTATCTTATACGTAACTATCCTTTATTTTAATAATGCATGAGATTAAACTGACGATTAAACTTTTTTTTTATCTTTAATGTGTGCCAAGAGTTGAAGAAGAAACTTTCTCTGGAATATGGTCGAAACTTTCAAATTGCCGAGTGTCCGTAAACGGTAAAAAGCATTTTGCAGTAATGAAACATACTCGGACTAATTAGAAAACGTGAGTTTTACATTATTTTGTGCGATAATGAAGCAATTAAACTTCACAGTCAATTTTTTTCAATTAATATAAATAAAAGTGCAATCAATTTCAACAAAGCGGCACCGCGCCGCTGTATCGCTTCAATGATTTAGTTTTATTTACGGATGTATTATTTCGCCCAAATGACGCGAGTGACGCAACATCCTAAATAATTTGGTTATCGCCGAGTAATGTGTGTGATGTCGGTTGTCCCATTATATTCATTGTACTATTCCCGTCATTTTCGCCAAGTATACGCACGAGATGCGTTGGAGTACTATCGAAGCCCAACAATGGTGGTGCCCATCCTTTCATTAGACAGAAATCGTCGATTTCGCATTCATCGCGTTGTCTGCATCGACGCCAAGTTTTCATCTTAAACTGCAGACGACAGGAAGTTCTTTATTACGGTGAAAGAGAGCGCGAATGTCATCCGCGGGTAAACATAAAGAGATGTAGGACCTTTGGTGTTCCGCTGAAAAACCAGCATGCTCGACAAGCGACGTTACGAGCTCTTCTTGTCGTAGGATGAAAGGTTTTGACAATCGTTTTGTTCTCTTTTTTTTCGCCATCTACTTCTCTCTCCGTCTCTCTATCTCTCTCTATCTATCTCTATCTCTCTTTTCCTCTTACCCTCTCGCCTCTTTCCTATCCACGATTCATTTATCTTCTTTTGGGGAATGTACTGCAACAGGAGGGAAACTAAGCTTGTAAATCCATTTAGTGCGGTCCCTGCGAAATAAAAAAGTTCGACGGTCTCTATTTCTATGCTAAGCAGTTAGGCGTGCTGTATAAATATAGTCGCAACAAAAATTTTATACTGTGATTATGTTCTTAGTCTGATTTTCTCTCTCTCTTTTTTAAAATTCTTCTTACATCGTCTTGTGTTTTTTAATTAAACTATATGTATAAAAGACTCTTTCAACCATAAGTACATATAAAAAGATGTTTCTATTTAAGATGCCTAATTTAAAAATGTCTTTATTGATTTTCGCAACCAATGAAGTTAATTAAAACTGTATCAATGGAGATTAGAGAAAATGTAAAAAATGAATGACAAAAGAATGATCAAACAAAAACTAAGACTCTTTTCTCTTCCCTAATTATTATGTATAAAGAAATTCATTAATAAATAATTTTTAACATGGATATATAATTTATCATTTATATTTAACGTTTTTTATTAATATAAAATATGAGTTTATAAACTTTTTATAAAAGACCTTTCTTAGTTCAAATATTAAATAAAAAATAAAT